GCTATGGTGACATTCTGTCCCTGGCCTAGGGTTTGGGGAGCCCTGGCTAACCCATCTGTATCTCCTTTATTCAGACTCCTGAGGAGGAAGAAATTTTAAACAAAAAACGATCAAAGAAGATTCAGAAGAAATATGATGAAAGAAAGAAGAATGCTAAAATCAGCAGTCTTCTGGAGGAACAGTTCCAGCAGGGCAAGCTTCTTGGTGAGATGGCTGTTGCATTGGGGGAGCGGGGGTAATGAGGTAAAGAGTGCCCTCTGCGTTTTACCCGTGCCTCAGTTCTTCTGACTGCCAGCCATGTGGTCTAGACTGTTCACCAGGAGAGTTTAATGATAGTAGCATACTGGCACAAATCAGAACATTTGGTCATCCCATTAGTGTTAAACTGAAATGGGAAATGGTGGGCAGGAGTCCGGAGGCCTGAAGTTGGCCTCTGCCTCTGAGTTTCAAGAGTATTTTGAGAAGTCCGTGTCCAGGCTGAGGGCCTGTCTCAGTGATGAAAACTTTGTCCAGTTCTGCTACTGACTTTAAGTGATGATAAAGTATATCTGAGGAGACAGTAGGCTTCATGCCTGTCCCCAGGATACCTGAACCAGCATGGACTTATAAGGGGATACATAGGTTTGGGTAGCTCCACTTTGTCATTTTGCTCAAGACCGCATACTCTCTTGCAGCATGCATCGCCTCAAGACCAGGCCAGTGTGGCCGAGCAGATGGCTATGTGCTAGAGGGCAAGGAGCTGGAGTTCTATTTGAGAAAAATCAAGGCCCGGAAAGGCAAATAAGTCCTCCTTCCTCCTGTCTTAGCTCATGTAATAAAGGGGTTTATCGTTCTCTGTCCTGTGTTCATGTTGTCTGAACAGTCGCTCACGTGGCACACTGGAGTGCCCCAACTCCCTCTCCCTGAAGGCCAGGCCTGTTACGTGGACTGTGCCTTTCTGCAGTAGGGGGAAGCTTTCTCACCCTAAAAGCTGGTTTTAGTAGGAACAGGGATGTGGTATGCAGGCCGAGCAGAGATTGTACAAGGAAGGTATCCCAGAACTGGGGCCCCCAACAATATTGGGGTGTTGGCTGGACGATGATGGGAACCTGAAGCCATGCTGCCTCTGTAAGGTTGGCTCTTTTAGAGATCCTGTACCTCTATGCAGACCTTGGTTTTAAGGGCTTAGTTCTGGGGCCGGCCTGGTGGCACAGGTGGTTAAGTGTGTGTGCTCTGCTGCGGCAGCCCGGGGTTCGACGGTTCGGATCCCGGGCACACACCAACACACTGCTTGGCAAGCTATGGTGTGGCAGCATCCCATATAAAGTGGAGGAAGATGGGCATGGATGTTAGCCCAAGGGCAGTCTTCCTCAGCAAAAAAAAAAAAAAAAAAAGAGGATTGGCAGATGTTAGCATAGAGCTGATCTCAAAAAAAAAAAAAAAAAATTAAGGGCTTAGTTCTGTTTTCAGCCTGGGTTCATGGATGGTCTACAACCTTGGAATTGTGTTCCCAATTTTTCTGCATTGTTGAGAGCAGGTTATACATGTTTACCTATGTGTATCTTGTCAGCTTTTGGATGTCTTTCTGAAGTTAGTTTTCCTGAACCCTAATCCCTTCACCTCTCATTATTCACAGGTATGTAATATTACCAGTGATTTCTGCATTGCTAAATCGCTTAAGGGTCAGCTCTGTCTTCAGCTTGGCTACATTGTTGTCTATCATCAGCATTTAAATGTGGTTTATGCTCCATCTTTCTAACTTTAGCCCAGACCTACTTGACACCCGCACTTGGATATCATAATCGGACTCTGAAAGCTCAACATGTTCAAAACTGATCACATTCTTAAGCTTTCCCTTTTCAAATAGTTTCTCAACTATTTGATCACAGCAAATAGTTGTCTTCATGCAACTGCTTAAATCAAAATCTTGGGTCATTCTGACCCTTATTCTTCTACTCCCACATCTAATGTCGTCACCAGATCTTGTTGGTTTAACCTTTAACACCACCTCTGCCATTCCGGTCACTTTTTTGCATCCTATTTGCTCTCAATGCTGCGTCTGTTGCCCCCACTGCAATCCCAGCAATCAGTGATCATTTTAAAAGATCAGATTTTTGACACAACAGCTTCCCATCCCAAAATCCTTACCAAATGGTATGGAACTCAGCATGACCTGGTCCCTTGTTATATAGTGACTACCCTCCTGGCCTTACTGAACATATGCTCACTTGCTATTCTCTTTGTTGGGTACGCTTTCTTTCAAATACCTACATAGCTTACTCCCTCCAGGTCTTGGCTCTGTCCGTGAGTTCTTCCCTGATCACAGAATTTTAAATTGCAATCCTCTCCATGGTGTATCCTTTGCCCCTGTTATTTCTCCTTCGCATAAATTTTGCTCATTTTATTTGCTTGTTTTTCTCGCCGCCTCAGTGAGAACATTATTCCAAGGGAACAGGGCTATTTGTTTCCTGCCGTGCCTCCAGTACGTGGAAAAGTGCATGGCAATATACCAGGGACTCAAATATGTGCTAAATTAATGAGTTCAAAAGAAGTCGTCTTGGGGCCAGCCTGGTGATGTGATGGTTACGTTCACGCACTCTGCTTTGGCGGCCAGGGGTTCGAATCCTGGACGTGGACTGATGCACTGCTCATCAAGCCATGCCATGCCATGCCATGGATGCGTCCCACATACAAAGTAGAGGAAGATTGGCAACAGATGTTAGCTCAGAAGCAATCTTCCTCTTTTTGCAGATGTTAGCTCAGGGCCAATCTTCCTCACCAAAAAAAACCTTAAGATTTTATTCAATTTAAAGTTGATGGAGGGCCGGCCCTGTGGCTTGGTGGTTAAGTGCGCGCGCTGCGATGCTGGCGGCCCGGGTTCGGATCCCGGGTGCGCATCGAGGCACCACTTCTCCGTTCATCCTGAGGCCGAGTCCCACATACAGCAACTAGAAGGATGTGCAGCTACGACAAACAACTATCCACTGGAGCTTTGGGGGGGAAAAAAAAAAAAAAAAATAAAATAATAAAGTTGATGGAGAAGTACAAGTACTTAAGAGCTAAAGAAGTGCAAAATCCAATTGGTTCATCAACTTGGCTAAATTGCAGGCTTCTGTGAATAGACAGTTGGAAATTAACCCCCTTTTTGAGTACAAAAACTTAAAGACAAAAATCGATCAACCCAACCCTCTAAAGCCTTACTGTTGGCTCTGTGGAGACTTGGCCCTGCCTTCCACCCAGTGATGGTCTTCATGCACCACCTTCATATTAGCTAGTTTACTGAGAGCTGTGTGTCAGGCTTAGCAAAGCAACACCCAGCACTTTGCCCTTGTTTTTTGTGTGTGTGTGTGTGTGAGGGAGATCAGCCCTGAGCTAACATCTGTGCCAGTCCTCTTTTTGCTGAGGAAGACTGGCTCTGAGCTAACATCTATTTCCAATCGTCCTTTTTTTGTTTTCTTCCCCAAAGCCCCAGTAGATAGTTGTATGTCATAGTTGCACATCCTTCTAGTTGCTGTATGTGGGACGCGGCCTCAGCATGGCTGGAGAAGCGGCCCATTGGTGCACGCCAGGGATCCGAACCCGGGCTGCCAGTAGCAGAGCGTGTGCACTTAACTGCTAAGCCACTGGGCCGGCCCTGCTCTTGTTTTCTAATTTGAGCTCTACACAACATTGATCTTCCCTCTCCCTCCTTCACTTCTACCTCTATAGAATAGGACTAGTGAGTTCTTTTCTCTAAAGAGTCTTGACCATCTGTACTGCCCTCACAGATGACCATTCTCTGCACTCTGGAGTGAGGCTAACCTTGTAAACCCAGCAAAAACCCTCAAATACCTTCTGAGTGAATGGCTGTCATTGGGTGCTGTTGTCTCCACATGACAGATTTGGCGACTGAGGCTTAGAAATGTTCAGTATTCCATGGTCACCCAGCAGGAAAGTAGCAAAGCCAGCATTGTAATCCAGTCAGTCAACAATGCCAAAAGCTGCACTCTCTGCCTCTGCCTACAACACACTCGTGCCTCCCCTGTTCTGGCATTTGTCATCCTTTGGCCTTAACATTCACCACTTTTCTTTAGTGGAGACTGCACTTAGAAGGCAGGAATCTTCGAAGGGCTCAGTTTAGCGACAGCTCCAATCTAGTGCTCTGTGGGGCTCTTCGACAAGCCCTTCTCACCATCACCCGAAGGCTCCCAGCGCTACAGTCCCACCATGGAGATCCACCACAGCTTTCATCCCTTAAATTGTCCTTTCTCCCCATCTGATGGGTGGGAGCGGGGAAGGGACAGGCACTCTATCCAAATGCTGAAGGTCTAGGCTGGGCGGTGTGTGACTGCTTTTGCATCTGAGATTAATCAGCATCCAGGGCAGATTCCCAAACCCTTTATCCCAGCACACAGCATGCCAATTCAGTTTTAAACAAGTGTAATTGCACAAGTAATACATTCTCATTGTAAACAAAAAATTGAACATTACAGATAAAATCCCCCAGCTCACACACTTTGACCCCTCTTCAGAGTAAGGTTATCAGGATAAGGTATCTCCCACACATCTTTTTATGTATGACTCCAATTGTGATTCTTGGACCAGCAGTAGCAGCATCACCTGAGAACTTAGAAACGCGAATTCTTGAGCTCCATCTAAGAATGAATCAAACGCTGGGAGTGGTACTCAGAACTGTTTGACAAGCCCTTCAGTGACGCTGATGCTCCCTCAAGTTTGAGAACTGGCCTAGCCCGCCCCCTCATTGCCGAGGAAACGGACAGTGCTCCCGGGCTCCCGTCCTGTATGCCTCGCCCCATGTATCTTTCTAGCTTCACCTCCCCCAAGCAATCCATCCTACCTTCACCCGCCAAGGTGGGCACATTCCCAGCCCTGGCTCAGGCTCTTCCCGCCATCTTCCTCTTTCAAAGTCTGTCCCTAAATGCTCCGGCTCAGGGCACACAGGAAGTGCTGCTCTAGTAGAGCCGGAGGGCACGACCCGGCCCGGCCAGTGGGCATGGGAGGGAGCGGCGGGGGCGGGCCTGGGGGAAGCCAGCAGGAGGGGCAGGCCCGGCCGCCGCCGCTCAGGGCTCCCCGGCCTCATCCCCTGACTCCGCCGCCTCCTCCTCGATGCGGTCCGCGGCCTCAGGGTCGCCGGCCTCCTCCGCCCGGAAGCGCAGCAGGTGAGGAGTCCGCGGAGGTCCTCGTGCGCGGCCGAAGTTGCGGAGGCTGATGGCGGGGGAGGGCGCTCCTACTCCCAGGAAGCGGCCCAGCAGCGGGGTCTGCGCGGGGGGCGCCGGCCGGGCCAACCCAGGCGACGCTTCCACCTGCAGGCTCTGCTCGGGGTCGTCGCTCACGCTGCGGGCGGGAGGGCGGGATGAGCGAGCCTCGGCGCCGCGCCGGGCCGGCGGCCTGGCTCTCCGGCGGGGGCGGGGGCGGGAGGGACCGAGTCATTGGCTCTCCGGAGCGGGGGCGGGGTCCTGGGGCCCGCGAGCCAGGTCAAGTCCTGCCGCCGCCAGCGCGGACCACTCACCGCAAGTTGAAAGTGGAGCCCAGGAAGGAAGGCCGCAGCGACTCGGCCACCGTGGCCACAGTGTACGGCGGCAGTGCCAAGCCTTCGTCCCAGTACGGGTCCTTCTCAGCCGGAGGCAGGTTCTGGTACATGTCGTCCACGGATAGCAGGGACACCTGGGGCGGGCAGCAGGTCACAAGGATCCTCCCCTCCTCTCCATACGGGGCTGAGAGCTGGCAGGGAGGGAGAGCCCAAGGAGCTGTCCCCAGACCTCTGCTCACCTGCAAGTTGCGGTCTATAAGCTGGTTGGTTTCAAAGTCGTCATCATCCTCACCGAAGGGGTTGATGATCTGTTCAGCCACCTGCAAGTTGTAAGACAGTTTTCTGGGCTCAGAGCCCCATTCTCTGTCCCCAGATTTGGAATGGGCCCTGAGCCCATGTCTCTACAGAGAAACAGGCTGGCATGACCACCTGAAGTGCCCACCTTGAGCCAGCCAGCGTAGAAGAAGAACTGCAGCAGAGTGGTGAGAGGCACATACATGTCCAGGTCCCCCAGCACTGGCCCTGGCTCCTTGCCTGGCTCCAGAGGCTCCTGAGGTTTGGCAGCCCCTACCTCTGGCTCCACGAACTGGCGGCCAACGAGGGAGAGGGCAAAGAAGGAGTATACTGCTATGGTCACCACCTGGAGAAGGGGAAGCCGGGCTGAGTGGGACAGGGAAAAATGCTGTCCCTGCCCCTGAGGGCCAGTGGGGGAGTCTGACAAGTAATAAAAACATGCAGCAAGGTGTGGCAGCACCAGAGGGGACAGGGTCATCTCGGTGGGAGTCCAGGGAGGCTTTGAGGATGAGCCCTTAGCTGTTCAGTGTCTCCCTGAACTGAACTGCCCCAGGGCAGGTCTCCTCTCTAATTCTTCTCAGTGTCTCACACACAGCACAGAACAGACAGTAGGACTGGGACTGGGGAGGTGAGAAGCAGTTACTTGGGTGTAGACGAGGGGGATGCTAATCCAGTCATAGTGGAACAGCATGCTGCACTTGGCCCGGTACTTGTTCAGCTCCTGGTGGAACGGCAGGAAGAGGAAGTCAGTGGAGGTGAGGAAGGAAGAACGGGAAGAGAACAGCAGAGCCCGGCACAAACTAGGCCTGGGCCAGGTGTGGAGGCTCATTCTGCTCTCAGTGGTGTTATCAGGCTGGAGGGCCTATGACGGGAAGCAGTTTAGCAAAGTAATCGCAAGCACAGACCCTGCAGCCAGAATGTCTGAGTATGAATACCAGCTCCACTAACTAGCTGAGTGACTGGGGCAAGTCTCTTTTCCACTCTCTGTAGCAGTTTCCTCATGGTGAGAGAGGGAAGATAATAACAGTACCTATCTCAAGGGTTGTTGTGGGGGTTCAATGAGTTAACATAGGTACGATGCTTCCAACATTGTGCGGTACATACTTGGCACCATGTAAGTGTTGGGTACTAAAATTATTATTCCAGTTTGCAAAGCTAGGGGTAGGAGGGCAGATGGGCCTGGTCTTAGGCGGACTCACTTCCAGGAGCAGGCAGAGAGCAATGTCGTCGTGGATTCGCCCATCCCTCCGGGCCTGGGCCGCCAGGTTGGTGAACCAGACGCAGGGGACCCAGTACTTGTTGAAGTCGGATTTCAGGCTCTCAAATTTTTTCCTCTCTTCCTGGGACATGAAACCTGCAGGAAAAGTGGGTGGGGCGAAGACTCATCCTCTGCCGGCAGGACCCGCCGCCGCGGGGCCCTGGGGCGCCCCCTGGGGTCAGATCTCCCCTCCCCGGAAGCTCGCGGGTCAGTTCCCGCCCGGGCCGCCCGGGGCTCCTCCAGCGCACCTGCGTCCACCACGTGCTCCATGGTGGGGAAGCGCTTGAGCACGCGGGTGCTGACCGAGCGCAGCACCAGCACCGACGCCAGGTTGGCGTAGCGGATAAGGGTGCGGCGCAGCAGGCGGCCGCGCTGGTCCACACCGTGCACGCTGGCCGAGATGACGCACATCAGCTGGTCTGGCAGCGGGATACTCGTGTACTGGGCCCACCAGCGGTTCACGACCAAAGTCACGTAGAAACCTGGTGGCCGCCATGGGTAGGGGGGATGGGAAGGGAAGATGGAGGGCCTGGGAGTCAGCGTGCCCTGCCCCCCAGCCAGAGTGCCTGGTCCAGGAGAGGGTGAACCAAGGTAGGGGGAAGGACACATTGGGCTCCAGAGCCAGGCCTCGCTGTCAAGGGGACAACCTCTTCCTCTGGTCCCGCCCTGTTGTGCTAGACCCGGTGGGAAGGAAGGAGGAGTGCATACTTCCTCGGGCAGAGGAAAAGTGGTGGTTCAAGGCCAGGTAGTGGTTAACTTTGAGCCCTGCTTCCCATGAGGGAGGGTGTGTGTGTGTGTCACCTCTCTCCAGCTTCACTCCGGTACCTAGAGCAGGGTTGTGAGGCTAGCAGGTGTCTTGTGCCTTGTTGGGAGTGAGGGTCTAGCAAGTGACAAGCAAGGCCTAGCTCTCTGCAAATCCTGGACCAGCACGCAGCTCCCGTGCCTGCTGAGCCCGCTCTAGTTGAACTCCACGCTGTGCCGATGGGGTAATTCTGACCCTCAAAGCTATCAACCCGACAGCAAAGGTCAGGGAAGATGGTGAGAAGGATACCAGGGAGAACTGGAGGGAGCCTCACCCAGTACGAAGGACAAGGGGATGAGGTCCGCAGAGCGGTTGCAGTATCGGGCCACCTGAGCGTACACGTGCCTCTGCTCCTGGGTCAACAGCAGCCTGGGGAAGGTGAGGTGTAGGCCTGCGTTACAGGGAGGTGGGCAGCCTGGTCCCCCGCAGGCCAGCCTTGAGCCCCCACCCGCACCCTCGCACCGGTAGGTGATGCTGAGCAGGGCATACAGGGCGATGAAGAGGAGGAACTCCTTGTAGAGGAGCTTGTAGATGCTTCCCCTCCAACGGAGAAGCAAGCCAGAGAAGCCTCCGAAGCGAGCCTCCGCCACTTTGAGGGTGTATGAAACCGTCATGGTGCTGGGAGCCTGGGGCAGGAGGTCACAAGAGCTGCCCCCAGAGCCGTCCCTCTCCCCCAGCAAGCCTTCTTAGTTTGCCTTCTCATCACCAAGCTTAGTTCCCCAGGCAACCTCCCTTCAACTCTTGTCACACGCACCCCCGCCCCAGCCTTCACCCTGCGTCAGTAGACAAGGGGGGAGGAAGCTGCAGAGCAGACAAAGTACACCCCCGTCCTCTCCAGAACACAGTGGTAGATGGGTCAAGCCAGAATGGCGTGGGGCAAGGGGGAGCTGAGATGTACGCCCTCTCATGCTTGAGGCTTCCCCAAGCTCCTCTTCCACTTGCAGGGCGAGGAGTAACCAGATCCTGAGCTGCTGAGGAACAGGAGACCCAACTCTGGCCCAGACGCCCCTGTCCCTTGGTGCCTTGCTCTCGAAGCTGATAGCTGGCCTCCCAAGACCCAGGGCACTCTCACCCCCACCCCACACCTGCCTACCTGCTCTGGGCAGCAGCCTGCGTTGAGGAAGGAAAACTGGGCTCACCTTCACCCCACACACACTTAAGTACGTCCTGGGCCCATAAAGTTTCACTGGACTGAGGTTATCATTGATGGATTGAGGCTGTCACCCAGCTTCCCCTGGTCCTGGGAACTGGATGTGTCTCCTTAACCCTGCAGGGCTGGGCTGGCCTTTGAGTGATAGAATTGCCATCTGCACTGACCCCATAGCTCAGACAGGTGACACCATGTCCTTGAAGCCAGAATAACAGGCATTACTGTCCCATGCTCCAGGTGAGAAGACAGATGCATGATAAATTGTTATAATCAAACAGCTGCTGATCCCAGAGCACTGACTAAGTGACAGGCACTGTGCCAAAGGCTCCACCATATCCTCGTGGTATCCTGGAATCCTCCTCACAGCCCCACGAGGTAGGAATCATCCCCATTTCACAGCTGATGCTCCAAGAGGTAAATGACTTGCCCAAGGTCATACAGCTAGAATGTGTTGGAGGCAGGATTCAAGGCTGAAGCTGATGGACTTCAAAGGCTGGAAGTGGCCCAATTGGGCCTAAACAAAGGCTTGAGCCATGGGACCAGAGTCCTGTGCACTGGCCACACTGGCAGGCTTCTAGTCCAAGCTCTGGGGGGCCTGGCCCTTCCACATCCCCATCCCACAGGGCTGATGAGGCCCCAGATCTGAGACTCAGGCCTGGGGATGCAGACCCCCATCAGCCCTGTGTCTTACATCCTGACTCCTAGCGGCGCCCAGGATCTTGAGTGGCCTCAATTTCTTCATCAGTCAAACAGAGGAAATAATACCTGAAGCACCAGCTTGATTACCCGCCCAGTACTGACCTGCTGGGGTCAGGAGATCCAGTGCTAGCCCAGACCCACCACTATCCCAGTCTTGCTCCGCAAAAACTCAGGCGTGGTGTCCCTCTTCTGACCTGTCTTGGGAAGCTCCTTCCCCCACACTGTGAGCTGGTTCTCAGCCTCAAGTGTTTCCTAAAGAGAGGAAGCGTGGCGAGGTGGTTAGGAGCACAAGCCCGGGAGTCAGACACACCTGGGTTTGAGTTCTAGCTCTCTGTAACCATGTACAAGTTACCTAATCTCTCTGAACTTCAGCTTTCTCCTCTGCAGAACAGGATCAATAACACCTTCCTCACAGGGCAATCAAGATTCAAAGAAACAATGCCGGGAGGCGGGAGCACTGCCATTACCATGAAAAGCCAAATCTGTTCCCTTTGGTTTCCGCCTACTGGTCCACTGCTGCATCCCAGAACCAGGCAGTCCCTCAGAGATTAAGAGGCAGAGACCTTTCCCCTGACACCCTGCCAGCCTGTCCCCAAGCCAAACAGTGCCAGGTCTTGGCTTTTAAGCTGGGTTCACTTCTGACCCCCTCTTCTACCCATCACCAGCCTCTGGCCTACCTCCTTTTCACTGCTCCTTCAAGGTCCAGCTCAGAGCATCCTCCAGGAAGCCTACCCTGATATTCCCCCAGGTCACTCCTCAAAGCCCTTTGGATTTCTCTCTCGCAGCAGGTGATGCTACTGGTCCTGATCTATCTACAGAGATCTCCTCTCCAGCCCATGAGACCCTTGAGGACAGGATTGCATCTGATTCATCTTGATAAAGCTGGGGAGGACTTGAACCTAGGCAGGCTTTTCTTTTCTTTTCTCTTTCTTTCTTTTTTTAATTTTTATATTTTGTCCTTTATAGCCTGAAAGGCAACTGGTCCTCCTCCCCATTTTTTTGTGAGAAACTTCCCAGATGAGCAAGGTCTGGAAACCTACCAATGGCCTGAGGAGTTATGTTCTTCTTCCAGGGCCCGGGTGAGATGTCAATATTTGGAAAGAACAGGACTTGTGTGTGTGTGTGTGTGTCCCAAAGGTCTGGAAGACCCGGGACCTGACCTGGGGAGGGCAAGGTACAGCTCTGGGGCCTCAGCCATCATGGCCATGAGGCTCCTTCCCAAGCTCTTATCTGTGGCTTTCCTAGAGCATTCTGGGCTGCTTTCCACTTAAAGAGTGTCTTGTACCTGTGAAGTCAGGCCCTGAGGTCCTGGGAGCTTCTCTCTGACAGCGCTCCTTGAGGACAACCCAGCTGGCTGCATTTCACTCCTCTGCCTCCCTCCCCATCTGTGGCCCCTCACGCTTCGCCTGTAACCAACACTCTGGATCACTGGGCTGTGCATTTCCCACAGAGCCACGGATAAAGGTACAGGACCTGAAGCCTTGCCTCAGGAGGGGGCAGTCCCCAGGCCCCACCCAGACCCTCCCTCCTGAGTCACCTTACCTCCCTTCCCAGCTGCTGACAGGTCCCTTTGATTTATGGTCCAGGAGAGGGAAGCACTCCACCATAAATCATTTACCGTGCCCTTCTTTATTGTCCTCTGCCTCTTGCCTCTCCCTCTCCTCTGGTTCCAACCACCTCTGCCCCTCTCTCAGCCAAGAGCTGGATATATGGCTTGGCAGTTTACAACATGGAGTCTGGAGCCAGACTGCCCAGATTTGCAAGTCTGTACTCCGGCATGAACTCCCTTTCTGACCTTGGGCAAGCCATTTACCCTCTCCGGGCTTCCTTTCTCCGTGGGGAAATGGGAATGATAATACCTATCTCATAGAGTTGTCGTGAATATTAAATGAATTAATATTTATAAAATGCTCTGAATAGCACATGGTAAGCTTGAAACGCTAATATAGTGTGGGAGATCAAAATTGGCCTCCCTGAAATATGTCTCTTTACCTTGATTATTTTCTCTGATGGATATTTGACCTCCCCCAAACTGCCCAAAGAATTTAACATAGAAGACCTGTTTCAGGAAGGAGCCACTGTCCTATGGTGGCTGTAATATAATGTAAAATAGATGTTACAATAGGAAAGGCACTAACAAGCGCATCTTATCAAAAATTCTGTCTCTCCCAGGCAACATTCTCTAGGTGGCCCTGCAAAGAGTTGCCAGACAAACATTTACGTTTATAAGGGAAACTTCCATTTGTAAAGGTATCTCCCTCTCTGTACTGGGAAGAGGGGGATGAGCTCATTTCTAGAAACTTATCAATGTGGAAGGTGAGGCCTTAAATCTGCATAATAACCTTACTCTTGTTTACTGTGCTTTTCTGTTAATCCCCCATAGCTGTCTCCTCCCCCACCCCCAACATCCTCCTTTGTCTACCTGGATATGCTATTTAAGGTGAAAACTTCCGCCACTGTGTTGAGAAACTCAGTTTCCCTGGTTTCTCCCGTGTATACATGTTATTAAACTTAGTATTATTTTCTCCTGCTAACCTGTCTTTTAATTATTTGGCCAGCCATAAGAACCTTAAGGGAAAGGGTGGAGGGAGATTCTCCCTCTTCCCCCACAGTAGCTAGCTATTAGCATCTCTCTTCTCTCTGGTCCGGCTTTTTTTTTTTTTTTTT